ACACACACATATATATAAAATAAAAGGCGTCTGGGGATGTATTTCAGTGGAACAGCACTTGCTTTGTATGGGTAAGGCCCTGGGTACAATCCAAAGTACCGCAAAAAGAGAAAAATCCAAGGGATAAGGAAGTCCTTGTGCTTTTTTAATGCAATGCTGGGGATTGAACCCAAGGCCTCAGTCATTCTAGGCAAACACTATGCCACTGAGCTACATCCCAGCCTGCTTGTGCTTTTAGAATCCTAGAGAACAAAGACTGGGAAACAAGCCTAGCGTGTGTGGGAGGCCCTGGCTTCACTCCCCAACACCATCAAAGAAAAAGAAAGGTAAATTTTAAGTCTCACATATTTCTCCTTTTAAAAATTAAATAAATTAAAGCGTACCAATATAAAATGTATTTGCATAACAAAGATATCGAATAAAAATAAATACTTTGGGAAAAGACTAGAGGGTGGGGAAGGAAGCTGATGGCTAACATCTCTTCCAGGGGGACATTCACTGAAGTTAGCTGGGGCAGCGAGGCACACTCCAGAGTTCCCTAGAGGGCAAAGCCGGACCTGATGACATCGATGGGGGACTTCATCTGCAACCTATCCCGCTCGGGGACCACGTGCCACGTGAACACCAGCCGCCAATCGAAGCCGCCAACCTGGGGCTCCCCAGAGTTGCCCAAGTACTCGAAGGTGTTCCAGTCGATGACATCGATCACGGGGCACACCACTGCTGACGCCTTCTCGTGGATCCTGCACAAACCCAAGACATCCCGTTTCACCTCTGCGGTAGGTACCAGGACAACTAGGAAAGTGGAGAATGGACTCTCCTCCTCCTGGCAGGAAGAGGGAAGACCTGTGTGAGAAGCCAGCTTTCCTTATCCAGAGTCCCCAGCTGTGGGTCGGGAGGGTGGGGGGTGGCAGGTGACCAGACACTGGAGGAAGGGAAAGGGAGCTTTAACAGGAAAATAGGGAAAATCGCGTAGCTTCGATATTCTGATTCTATCCATGGACAGTCTGTCTCAATTCAAACTCTGTGAAAGTCAAGACGTGGGAAAACCAAAGGTGACTTTTAAATCAGAAAGCAGATTATTAATTTCTCAGAAATGCAAGAGAATTAATCACAAAGAAACATCTTAATGTCAAGAAAGAATCAGCTAAGAAGAGCTGCACCCAGACTAAAGGGCCAGCTTTGCAGTTAAGACTATAAATTCTACTCCTGCTCCTTATTTACTGAGTGACACTAGCTAACTCACCTGACCTCTTAGAAGTCAATGTCTCATTGGTGACCCTGGAATGGTAATTCCTGCTGATAGTCTTAACGTGAAGATTCCTAGGGGTGATATTTGTTAAGTTGGCTGTCAGAGAACCTGGTACTATTGTTATTCTTTTCATTTTTGGTATTTTGACATAATACAAACAGCAAAAATTTCTGAAACTTGCAAATGCAGGTATCAGCCTGAGTATGCTCCAGCTATCTTCTCTGCAACAGAGAAGATAGCTTACAAACCCAGCCACTTTCAGCATGTGCCCAGGCTGTGATTCTTTGCATGTGATACCACCCCAGGAAAGACAATCAAGACTGGACCACATGCAAAGACTAGATTTCTCTGGGCTATGGGGGAAGAGGGGAGGCAGCACTGTTATCTCAAACTTAAAACCTGAAAACCCTAAAGGTCACACAGCACAAAACAGTGAAACAGAGTTCAACCAGCCTGAAGCTGTAAGTGCCTGGAATAACACCAGAAAGTCAAAGGGGGCATTATAAATACTACACCTGTGTGGGAAAATTGCACTGTTCAGCAGATGCTGGATAAGGCAGAGAGAATCAAGCCTACGAGGTCACCAAATTAAGGAAGCTCCAGATGAGGTCTCCACCAACGCCTACTTCTTTAAATAAATTGAGGACATTGTTAAAAAGGCTGAGCAGCCTGATCACCGACCTCTTGGGCCAATTCCAAGATGCTGTCTGGCCCCTGGCAAAGACCAACTCTCCAGGAACTCATAACTTGTCATTAAGCTGGTTGGAACTATGGTCAGCTAAGTTTAACAAAGGAGAAGGCTTGTGCTGGCCCTGGTACAGAGGACTCTGAACCATGAGTGGAGAACGTTGTGTTCTCTGGGGATGCACCACCTGGTGTCGAGGGGGAACCTTCCTTGGTTGTGCAGAGCTGACCTGCACTGTGCTGCAGGTCACTTGTCATTCCTTGCACTCACTACCAGCAGCACTACCTGGTTGACATGACAACAAAGAATACCTTCTCAGATACCAAAAAAAAAAGCTCTTCAAGGGTAGAAGACCTTGTTCCTGGCTGAGATTGCCTGAGGCACAGTCTACGGCCTGACCAGTACACATCAAAGTCCCCAGGAGAGCTCTGGAAACATCCAGAAGCCTAGGCCTCACTCCTAAGCATCAGATCCAAACAATGTGCTGCAGGAACACATGTTAGCACATTTAACAATCCCCCAGGCATTTCCATTGGGTGGCCAGGGTAGAGAAAGCCTCATACACAGGTATAGAGCAAGGTCTTGGTCACTGGGAGGGGATGGGCATACTATATACTGCGGAGGAATTCTAGGCAGCATTAGTGCATCAGTCCAAGAGGAAAAGGTTCCCTTCAGACCTCCTCCAAAGACTCCACACCAGTCTGGAGGTGGGGGAAGGGTCACAAGGGGAGTCTCTGGCCCAGGTTCCAGACAGTCTTACATTCCAAATAAACTGAGCAGCCCTGAGTCTCTTCTTCTGCTGACACCCTTCAGGGCTAAGCAGGAGAAAGAGGCAGCCATAGCAGCCAGAGGGGACAAGAAAGCAGGATTTTCTCTGCTTATAGCAGAGCATAGGGTGGCATGGCCTCACCCAGGAAAGGAAGGGATGGGCAGCTCCCTCAGACAGATTCTAGCAACCAAGCATCAGGGGCTATGCAGAGCAGGTTCCCAGCTGCAGGATTTTCCTGACCCTCAGACCTTTTGCCAGTCCCATAGAGGAGGAACTGAACAGACCTCCTCACACCTTCCTCTCCCTCCAAGGGGAACTCTTGGTCTACCGGCCCAGCTCCTGACCTCAGTGGGAGTTGCCAGGAGGCGCAAACAGAAGAGAGCAAAAACCAAGCCATGATAAAAAGGATATAGTAAGAGGCTGTGGAGCAGCCGGCAAAATGGGTCTCAAAAATAAGGCCACAGAAAGGCTTTCATAGGCCTCTTCTCCATGTATATACAAATTTCAAAGTATATTTTATTATTACACAGGTATAAAGACAAACATAATGAAGGCTACATTCATTATTATAAACTCATATATAAGGATTAAAATCCGTTATGTATACGTATAGTACCCACTCCCCACGATACATGTAACCGTAAGTACTACAAACAAGTAGTAACAAAAAATTTTTAAACAAAATTAAAAAAATAAATCATAAGAAAAAAAATAAACTCACATTGGATAATAATATATCATGTTTTTCCTTTTGATTTGAAAAACTAAGATAAAACCATTTTTGTAGGGCTGGGGATACCCTCAGGGGTAGAACTCCTGCCGAGCACATGCAAGGCTCCGGATGCCAGGTGAAGTACCACAAACACAAACATGTAGAAAAACGCCTGTGGGTCCCTTTGAGTTTTAAGGGCCCTAGGCATTGTGCTTCCTGAGTGTGATGGAAAAGTAAGCCCTGCCTGAAAAAACATGCATAGTAGTGTATATTCCTTAAAAGTGTGAAGACAAGGCTGGGTATGGTGGTGCACACCAGTAATTCCAGCGCGTGGGAGACAGAGGCAGGAGGATCACTGCAAGTTCAAGGCCAGCCTAGGCTACAGAGTTCAAGGTCAGCTTCAACTACAGACTGAGACCCTATCTCAAAAATAAAAGATGTATAACACGAGCTTTTTTATTTATTTATTATTTTTGGGTACCGGGGATTGAACTCAGATCTTTGTGCTCGTGAGGCAGGTGACGGAACCACTGAGCCAAATCCCCGGCCCACCAGCTTTTTAAAATGGTTTGATTTATGATACTTCCTAGTCTTCTACAATGAACTGGCTAAGTAACAATAAAAGCAAACAGCATTTCTGGAATGGCCAGTGATGCTGAACATTTTTTCATATCAAGAAATCAAATAAGAACAAATGCTAGCGAGGCTATGGGGAGAAAGGAACCCTTCTATGCTGTTAGTGGGAGTGTTAACTGGTACAACTGCTACGGAGATCAGTATAGAGACTCCTCAGAAAACTAGAACTAGAAATTCCATTTGACTGAACTATTCCCTTTCTTGCTATCTTCCCAAAAGAGTTAAAGTCATCATATTACAGGGATACATGCACACCCATATTTATAGCAGCACAATTCACAATAACTAAATCTTGGAACAGCCTATATGCCCATCAACAGGTGAATGGACAAAGAAATGTGGTATTTATACATAATGGAGTAGTAAAGAAGGATAAACTTAAGGCATAAAGAAGGCTATAAAGGATAAACTTAAGGCATCTGTCAGTGAATGGATAGACCATAATGTTAAGTGACATAAATCAGATACACAAGCTTAAATTTTGCATGGTTTCTCTTATTCAAAAAACTCAAAATATAAATAAAGATTAAAATAAAAGATAATAGAAAGGAGATCTTTTTTAAATGTGAAGGGGAACAAGAGATGGAGGAAGGGGTGAGGGAGGAAAGGGGATGAAAAAAAAAAAGAGTCAAAGAAAAAACTGAAAACAGACCTTTCTCAAATGGAGGGGAACAAGAGCCAGACAGAGCAAGCACAGAAAAAGAATAAAGATGTGTTACGTACATGCACAAACTGCCCACGATAAATGTCACTGGGTACCACAAATGTACTAATAAAGAAATTTTTTAAAAAAGCAAACAGCAACAGAGGGCCTGTTATTCCTGCCGTACTGGAAGCGCGTTCCATCTGTCCCATCACCCAGCAGCACACTGTCACAGCGGACCTGCCCCTGGAGCATCTGACCCAGGCTCCAGTCTGTCCCTGCTTCCCTCTAAGGTGGTGACCCTCCCAGGCCTTCCCCTTGTGGCAGCTCACGCACCTCTGCAGCAGTGGCTCCAGCCACCCCTCGTGGCACTCACAGTGACAGTCCAGGAAGGTCAGCACATCGCCCCTGGCCGCAGAAGCCCCCAGCAGCCGGGCTCGCACCAGGCCCTCCCTCTTGCTGGCGCGGATCAGGCGCACCTTGGGCAGGGCTGACAGCTCCTCAGCCAGGCGCTCCTTCAGGTGCTCTGGGGGACAAGCAGAGAAGCAAGGGTCACTGTAACAGGTCTTTGCAGAGCACTTCATCCAAGTCAGGTCCTTCCAGGGCCTCCCTGTCCCCAGAAGATGAAAGAGATACGTACCTCCTTTGTTTACCACCTGAACCAGCTCGCCCAGAACCACTGAAGTGCTGTGACAGCTTGGGAAAGCTGGGATAGAGGAACTCAGAAACATTGGCTCCCTAACAAACACATGCATTTTGAATTGTAAGCTCTAAACAGATGAATGGTGTGGTACCTGAACGTATCATAACAAAGCTGGCACCAACAAATACTTTATAAGCTTCACTTATAAACATCTGAAAAAGCTGAGCGTGGTGGTGCATACCTGTAATCACAGCACTTGGGAGGCTGAGATAAAAGGATCGCTGTGAGTTCGAGACCAGCCTGAACTACATAGTGAGTTCCAGGTCAGTCTTAAATACATAGTGAGACCCTTTCTCAAAAAAAAAATCTGAAAATTAAAAACATATGAATGGGGCCAAGAATTTAACTCAGTGGTACCATGCCTGCCTTGCAAGCGTAAGGTCCTGAGTTCAATCCTCAGTTAAAAAAAAAAAAAAAAAAAACACAACAACAAAAAACTCAAACAAACATATCAATCATCCAACCACAATGCTATGGTTTAAATATGGTCTACATCCCCCAGGGGTGCGCGGTGATTATAGACTTGGCTCCCAGGGGGCGCTGTTGGGAGGAGGTAGAAAGTTGGGGAAGTGGGGCCTAATGGGAGGTCTTGGTCACTGACCAACACCCTCTGGGGGCGGGGGTGCTGGGACCCAGTCTCTCCTCTGTTTTCCTGGATGGAGATGTAATCACTTGCTCTGCCTCCCCCCACCTCACTCCCCCACTGACATCCGCCATGGTGTGTTCAAGCCAAGAACTGAACTGATGCCTCCTGCGCCATCGCCTTGAACTCCCAAAACTGTGAGCTAAAGAAACTTCCTCCTCATAGGTACCCTGTATCAGGTATTTCATTATACTGATGAAAACATGGTTAACAAAATATTTATAAAAACAGTACTTATGTTAGTAGACATTTTCTCAGGAGCACTTTAGTTTGTATAGTAGAAGCAGCAGCCTGTTTTGCAAAGTTCTGAGTGACTTATAGACTACTCATCTGATCTCCTTAACGATCCTGTGAGGTAAGTACCAGTATTATCCCCATTCCACAGATGGACATTGGGCCAGAGTGGCTAAGTAACTTGCCCAGGATCACAGACAAAGCAAGATAAGGAGACATAATTTGAACCCAAAGAATGGTTCCAGACCCCACAAGCTTCACATCAGCCCTCAGGGCTTTCTCCCACAATTTCCCATCCTTATTAAAAAAAAAAAATCGAAATCTGTCAGGAGTGGATGTTTCTGCCAATCTGCAGAACAGGAAGAGAGCTGAGAGGGTAATGGCCTCTCATACATACCCTTTTCAAGGAAGCGCTGGCCTCCAGGTCTCCCAGTCTCCCAGGTGGGATTGGGACTGGAGTTCTATCTATCCACACCCTCAGTGGGTCAGGGGAGGCGGTGGGGAACCCACTCAGGCAAAAGGGAAAGGAGAGAACTTCCCCACACCAATGTGAACTTTGGTGCAAAACCCTCAGCCTTGAAAGTGGTGTAAAATGTTCTCGGTTGCTTCAGTTTATGAAAATGCTTCTCTATCCCTGACACTTAAAAATTCACTGGCTTTCTTTTGAAATCCTAAGTATAACTGCAATAAGCTGATGGCACCAACAAGGGCAATGATTCTGCAAGCAAAGCTAGTTAGCTGCAGTAACAATGAACACATAAAGCAGTCTCCGCATTCATGATGGGTTTTGTGAGCATTAATTTCATGTCTGCTGTACCTGTCTTCCTACAATGGGGGCTGCCCCCTTTATTAAACTCATCCTGACACTGCAGAAAACAACGAAGAGGCAGGTACTGCTTAACTCCGTCCAGGTCCTGGGGACCCTCCCTACCTGGGCCAGTCAACACCAGGGGATGAAGGGAGAGCTCGGCCCACCCTTCTCTACAGGTGGCAAGAACGGAGCTTTGCAGAGGCTGCTCACGTTGCCTCCCACTCCTGCCTGCTGAGGAGCTGCTGATCCATAAAGGAAGCCACCAGATATTTGTTTTTATATTACAACCTCGGTGAAATGGTGTTTTTTTCATTTTATAGTTTTTACAAAAATAGAAGTTCCATTTAACAAAACTACCTCTCTGCTGGGCACTAATCAAGATATTACCTACTTTACCTCATTTAATCCTCACAATGATCTTACAAAGTAAGAACTATGTTTATTCCCATTTGAAAGGGCCTGAAGCCAAGGAGGAAAGTGACTGAAGTCACTGCTCAAAGTTGTATTGTCATGAGTTGCTACAGGAGCGATTCAAGTCCATGCAGTGTGACCCCCCCTCAACTGGCATTTACAAACAGACTTAAACAGCCCTGGAGGGAAAGGAAAAGGAAATGTAGGTAAGTTCCTACTATGAGCTAGCTGCTACCTCAATGCAACACTCTGACATCAATGTGGATAAAGCCAGTCACAGGTGAAAAACAGGCTCAGAGAAGACAAATGACACCAAAGGTGCCACACCTGGACCAGGGTGGGCCCGGGATTTAGCTCAGTGGTTCCACCACCTGCCTCTCAAGTGCAATGACCCAAGTTCGATCCCCAGTACCAAAAAAATGCCCCAAAAAACTGAACACAAATGGACCATGGTGAAGCTGCCTGGTGACCCAGAGCTCAGTGCCTAGGAGGATCCACTCAGTATCATACTCCAGCCTGACTGCCACGGACACTGCTGCTTGTCCTGTAATCCCCGTTCTTCTGACCTTTGCATGGCCACAAAGATAAAGGCCTCATTTCCCAGCCTCCCTTACAGCTAGACGTGGCCAAGCATCCATGTTCTGCCCCATAGGATGCGGGCAAGGGGAGATTTCCAGGTACTGCCCTTAAAGAGAAAGGGCAATCCCTCCCCTCCACCCCCTTCTGGCTGGCCTAGGTTGGGGGTACGGTGAGGAGCACAACCTCCCAAGGCAGACAGGAGTTGGGGCAGGTACCAACCCCAAACACATCCTTGATTGTCACACCAGACTTGTGACATGCTGTTTCTACCTTGTGTGAATCACTGTAATTTTGAGTGTCTGTGAGAACAACCTAACACCCATGCCAATTAGAACACAGGTGCGCCAGCTCTTAAGTCAGACGGACCAAGCAGGGCATCCTCCAGAGCCCCTACCCGGCAAGCATAACTATTCATCTCTTGGGTAGTCTGGCTTGAAACAAGCTGACAGTGAAGCCCATGGCTCCACCTGCTGTTACAGTCCTGACATTAATTAAGCTCAGCTGCCTTTGCTTCAGCTGGTCACTACAGTCATTGGCTGATGTCACCCCATGGATACCACTAGTCCCAGACAAGCCAAGACTCTTGCTGTGCACAGAAACCCACCCCAGCCACATTTCCATCCTTGCCCAAGACTGTCCCTGCCACTGGTTCCTCTCCACATAGCAGGCCCAGAAAGCTTTCAGACTAACCGGGACTTTCCTGTCCCCCTTAAGCCTGTGACAGCTCTCCACACAGAAGCTTCAAGGCCTTATGTGGCCTCTGAGGTCCTACCCGGTCTGGCCCTGCCCTCCCTGTAGCCTCATCGCCCATATTACCTCCCCATACTCATTTCAGCTTCTGCACTGGCTGTTCCTGGGCCTGGACCGCTCTCCCTGAGGTCACCATTAGGCACACAGGACACCGAAAACTCATATTTACTGGGCCTCCTCTACCACACTCTCCCCAACTCCCTGCCACTGCCATGGAAGGCCAGACCCTGCCAGAGCCCCTATGAGACTTTACCTTTGTCACTGTAGTCATCTACCAGGATAACTTCTTCCACCAGGATGTCTGGGGACGTCTCGAGAACACTGTAAACCGTCCGAAGGAGTGTTGACCAGGCTTCATTATAAAAGGCTATGATAACAGATGTCGTGGGCAAATATTCATAATCATATTTCTCCTCTTTGCACCTACAAATACAGCACAACTTCAGAAATTGAGAACCTAGCTAACGCTGGAGCTGGAGATGAAAAGACAGAGGTCATAAATCATGGCCTCCAGGCTTCCCTGGGGAATGGGAAATAACCCGCTGGTTATGTGGCCGTCCCAAAGCCCCCCACCACGTGACACAAGGAGCCCCAGAGGATGCCAAGAAAGTTCTCATCATGACTCCAAACAACCTTTCCCTATGGAATATTGGTGTTGTTTGTTTGTTTGTTTGTTTGAGACAGGGTCCCACTATATAGTCAAGCTGGCCTTGAGCTCACTAATTAGCCCAGGTTGACCTTAAACTCCTGATGATCCTCCTGCCTCAGGCTCCCGAGTCTTGGGATTACAGACATGTGCCACCACACTCAGCTCTGTGGGATACTGTTTGTAAACTAAAAGCAATTTGCAGATTTGAGCAATACATGAACTAGGCAGAAAGAAGTATCACTTGTCCCCCAAACTATCTGTTCCAGCCCCAATGCCAGGCCTCTCCTACAACTGTTCCCTCTGCCCGGCATGCCCTCTGCTCCTTTCTCTACTGGGAGAACTCTCCTGTCCTCCTTGAGGACATGCACAGCCCAACACTCCCCTGGGAACTCCGTGCTGGCCCCTCAAAGCACCTCTATCTTAGCAGGTGCCCCTCACAGCATTCCTGTTACTCATATACTTGCCCCTCCCTACCTTTTCCCAACATCTAGCATCCCATGACTGCTTGCACAAAGGTGATATGCTGAATGTGTACACTAGAACCATGGCTAGAACACAAACATCTGGGAAGGGCTCTGCAGAGGGTCGTCCCTAGTCCCTGACATGGTGAGGGTAGGCCCACCCAACTTCAAGGAGTCTTGACTGGCAGTTACAAGAAACAATAGGCTCCCTCTTTGTTTAGTGGCATTCACTGCATCTATGCACTGAAGGTTCCCTTCCTAATTGACACAGAATTCTATCCTCTCAGTAGCTGAAAACAAACTCCTAAACTGACTAAGGAAATTATCAGCAGGAAGTAGCTAACAGCAAGCTCAGAAAGATATCACAGGGACAGCAGAAGAACCAGAGTTTGAACACTGGGGCCTAGCAGGGGATCAGCTGGAATTATTTAGGGAGGAGCTAAGTACTGAAGACCAGCCAGCAATCAGCACAGCTAAAGCAAGGCCCTTCTGAACAAGCAGGGTGACAGATCAAATGTCTATGTATAAGAGTATTAAAAAAATGTGTCTGGACTATTAAGCTTCTGAGTAGCAGACAAGAAACATAGAGAAACTGTACAGTACTGAAATGCAGCCCACTAGGAATCTCAGAAAGAAGTAACTGCTTACTGCTATAGTTTGGATCTAAAATATTCCCCAAAGGCCACTGTGTTGAGGGCCTGGTTCCCAGGCTGGTGTTACTGAAAGGTAGTAGGACCATTAAGAGTTGGGGTACAGGGCTGGGGATTTAGCTCAGTGGTTCCACTGCCTGCCTTGCAAGCACAAGGTCCCAAGTTCGATCCCCACTACCAGAATAAAAAAAAAAAGCGTTGGGGCACAGTGAGAGTTTGAGGCCACTGGGAGCATATCCTCAAAGGAGACTGTGAGACCCCAGTCTGTACCCCTCTCTTTAGTTCCCAGCCAAGAAGTGACCAGTTTGTTCTGTCAGTCACTCCCACCATGCTGTGCAGCCACAGGCTCAAAAAAAACAGGGCTAATGGGTCATAGGCAAACACTTTCAAAACTGTGAGCCAAAATAAATCTTTTTATAAGTTGATTTTATCTCAGATATTTGTTAAAGAATACAAAGCTAACACATTTACATGAAAAGGGTGTTTTGTAAACCTAAAAATAAAGTTGTTTTTTTCTTTTTGGTACCAGGGATCAAACTCAGGTCCTTACACTTTCAAGGCAGGCGGTAGCACCACTGAGCTAAATGCCTGACTCTTTAAAGTTTTTTTTTTTTAACCTTTAAAAAGAGGTGTAGCTAAAATAACTTTAAACATGCTCAGGTTCAAGTAGAGGTAAGTGAAAAGGATGGTGAAGTAAGGTTTTCAAAGTGAAGTAGTTTATTCAACATAAAAAACTTGTTTTTAGTCTGAATCACACTCCTACTGTTTTGGATTAAAATGTATTTCTTCTCTGCTTGAACAAACAGAGTTGGAACCACATGCAAACCCTTCTCCTGTTTGGGGTTCATGTGTTTTGTTTTTTTATTGAGTTTATTGGTACAATCTAGGTATACAATACAGTTACATTCATTATTGAGATCCTGTACCTTTACATGATAGGTCTTAATTCTATTTTTTTCCCCTTGTCCCTGCCCTCCCTTCACCCCCTCCTCCCCTCCCCATTTACAAACACTTTATTTCCATTTTTTCAATTTCTCATATTTTTTCCTCTCCCTTATTAACTTTCCCCCACCCTTCCCACTTTCCCCACACCTTTAGCCCTTTACTTCCTATTTACATTATTAATTATCTCATCACGATCCTGTGTACTATTATAGTTTTTCACACCAAAGAAACTATTCAGTATTTCAGTGAAAGAAATCTCTGTATGGACATTAAAAATAGGGAATCCTAAAATAAAACTAAAAAGGAAAATAAAAGAGAAAAGGCAATGATGTGAAATTAAAATAATCCTTAATTTTGAAGATGAAAATGGTCCCTGAACATATTTAAATTGCTTCTTGCTCTTGTAGTCTTATCTTATTCTCTTTTCTTTCATTATTTGGAGAATACTTTATTAGTTTGTGTAATCAAATCCACGTAGATATGACCTTACATATTTAATACAGAGCGTTACCCCTGTACAGATGGAAAAAAATAAAAATCAAAATTAAAATATTAACATTTCTAAACCAATATGGCTGTCCATTTCTGTACAATGCCAACTCAACACAGTAAATTGGGATAACTTTTTCCAAAGTTGACAGCATCGTTGAAGTTTCCAAAAATTCAAATTATATATATATATGTATATATATATTTATATTTATATAAAAAGACCAGTAAGAGCAGTATGTTATTCATCAATAGCAGCAACAGCTTTTCCAGGTTCTGCAGTCATCTGAACAAAATTATAGACATTCAGCATATTCCATTAAAAAAACAAAAACAAAAAAACAAAGAGAAGAATACTATCCAGAAAACAGCAAAGTTCTGTTGCTGTTGTCGTACCTGGCACCATTTTTTTAAATTAGCATCTTAATCATCATCTGGAAAGAGAACATTCTAGAGTAATATCATTAAAGATAGCTCTGATAAAACATGGTCACTACTACATATCATAAAGCAGGTACAAGATATTTTACATTCAGAGGTATGATACAGTACCATCCTACATCAATAATACTAGAATCAGTTTTGGTTTGAAATTTGCTTTGTCTGCAAATAAGATTGCTACCCCTGCTTTTTTCTGGGCTCCTGTCACATGGAGAATTGTTTTCTATCTTTTCACTTTCAGTCTATGGGCTTCTTTTTGCACTAGGTGTGTTTCTTGTATATAACATACTGTTGGATTTTGCTTCTTATTCCATCTTGCCAGTCTATTTCTCTTGATTGGTGAGTTGAGGCCATTGACATTAATGGTTATAACTGATATGTACTGACTTATTATTGACATGTTATTGGCCTTTTGTTGACTCTTTTTACTTTTTCATCTTCTCCTTTTAGTTTCTTGCCTTGCCTATTTGATTTGCTCTGTTGGGCCTCATGGTGCTGTTGCCTTCATTGTCTTTTTCTAGGATCTTGTTTAGAATTGCTTGTAGTGTTGGTTTGGTATTCATGTAGTTTCTCAGGTATTCTTTATCGTGGAAGTATCTTATTTCCCCATCCATTTTGAAAGAGAGTTTTGCAGGATACATCAGTCTAGGCTGGAGGTTGTTCTCTTTTAGTACTTGAAATATCTCATTCCAGGCTTTCCTTGCCCTAAGGGTTTGTGTTGAAAAGTCTGCAGTGATTCTGATGGGCTTTCCTTTGCATGTGATTTGTTCTTTTCTCTTACTGCTTGTAGTATTTTGTTTTTCTGCTGGGTTTCTGGGATCTTGATTATTATATGTCTAGGTGTAGATTTTTTTTTATTGTGGCTAGTTGTGGTCCTGTATGCCTCAGTTATCTGGGGGTTCATGTGTTTTTGCTGCTCTGTAAAACTCAAAGGTACAGGCATGTCACAAAATGTCTGGTCGGCTCTTTCTTAGTGACACCTAAATCATAAGAAAACTGGTTCCCAACTTGCCAATGCACATTCAAAGCTCTAAAAAGTTCCTCTTTGATCACATATCACTATATTTGAGAAATTTAGCTCAGTGGTGCCACCACCTGCTTCAAAAGCACAAGGTCCAGAGTTTGATCCCCAGTATCAAAAAAAAAAAGAGTATCTTGCCTAAGGAAATAATATATACCCTGAAGTATGGTTTCTATACAAATGTGTTCCCTGTAACATGATTTACAACAGCAAAAAGCTACAATATCAACATCCAACAAGAAAGAAATGAACTACAGAACAAACGGATGAAGAAATTCTAGTGGTTGCCAAAAATATTTTCAGAGACTATTTCATGATAAAAGAAAATAGTCACACTGTAATGTTAAATCAAAAAAGCAGAGTACAAATCTGTAAATAGCCAATTCTATAAACAATGTGTGTGCATGAGCTCACATATAAACAATAAATAATAAGAAAAACTATGCCAAAAGTTCTCAATGGTGATTTCTGAAAAGCAGGATTATCTCTGATTTTTATTTTCTTCATTTCATGATCGTTCTACAATGAACATGTGTAATTTTTATAATCACCAGAAAGATGATTTTTAAAAGCTATGTCATTTTTCTTCAAATGCCTTTACTGAGCATAATTTAACATTCAGCCCTCTCCTCTTTCCTTGGCCTGGGATAATTTCTGTCTTTCTTTAAAATATCCCCTTAAAGGCATGCTCCTTTATGAAGCTCAACATATCCTACCAAATGTGTCTAACTTTCCTTCCAGAAAAAAACACTGTCTTTTCCTGGAATGATACAAAGCTGCTCATTGAGAAAAGGCTCTGCGCCCTTTGATTACAGAACAGCTATGTACCACTTTAGGGTTCTACTTTTGCCTTGAAGAAAAGTGACAGTCCAGAGCTAAAATATTAAGCCATCATGTTGCTAAATTGCTTGCTGGAAGCGGCCTCTGTGAAGGCAGGACTAAATTACGTTTCTACTGTACTGGGTGACACAGTCACAATTGTCAAGTGCTCACTACATGACAGGAGTATGCTAAGCATCTTACAGGCCTGTGTCCATTCAGCCTTCATAGCACCTACTGGGTTGGGTCCACTAGCATAATACAAATCTGCATACTGGATGGGTACAAATGAATTGATTCAGGAAATGCTTCCTGACCTTTTTTTATCCTTATATTACAGTTATCACAAAAATGTCTTTTAAAAAAATAGCAAAACCCAAACCCTTTCTACAACAGGTGAGGGATATCCTAATGTGCATTTATGTGTCCTACCTGCCTTAAACCCTTCTTCTTCATGATTCTGTACCTTGATTTCTCTTTTAGGAACCATGCTTCCCTGACTCTCAGTCTATATGGTTTCTACAGGGCTGAACACACAAACACACACGTACACACACAGACACACACACACATACCCTGACCTCTGCAAAGACATGTGTCTTCAGCCTGACTAATCAACATTTCCTGTGGGCAGCATCTGCAACCCTGATCCAGGGCTTAGAATAACAAAACCTACTTCTAATCCAAGACTTTCCTATGCCACAATATCTTCTCTTTATATACTTAAATCAGTTAGCAATGGGTATGTACTCACTGTCAACCAAAAGAATCATAATTTAGAAAAGAAATATTTTTAAGGTGAAGATAGGACTTCTACTGGCAAAAAGATAAAAAATAGAAAACTGCTAAATTAGCAGAGAAAAATAAAAAGAGTAAAGCCTCTATCAACTCAAAAAAGTAGTAGGAAATAAGAAAGACAAAATAAAAAGAGCACAGAAATATGTAACATGAAATAAGACGGCATAATTGAATCCAAAAAATCAGTAAAAACAATAGATGTAAATGGATATAAATATCTACTTAACAGTAAAGACTCTAGGTCTGGAATTTTGTTTTACTTTGTGCAGTGCTGGAGATTTAACCCAGAGATTCCCACATGCTAGGCAGTTGCTCTATCACTAAGGTACATCCCAGTTTTGCATTTTTTTTCTTTTTTTTTTAGTATCAACACAAAATAAAACAACATGTTATTTAGAGACACACCCAAACGAGAACATTAACCAATACAGATCAGGTTTATGGATCTGAAATATTAACTCAAAGAATGCCATCCTAATAACCACAAGATGGGTTGAATAAGAATAAAATAAGAATAAAATACCCTAGAGTTTACAACCTTAATGGGGAAGCAAAGAAACTTCAGTCCAATGTCCACATTACATGTGATGTTTTACATGTAATTTTGTTAGAACAGACAAGCAGGCTATTTCTCTGTAAAAAGAAATCCTGACTAACCGCCTCCAGCCAACTCCAGCAGGACAGTTAGTTTGTCAAATTACCTATGTAGAGAAAAAAGGAAAACAAAACAGAAAAAGGCACACCAACACCAGGGTGTGGATTCATACCTAGACAGCATTGGCTAGCAGAGACTAGCTGGGGATCTCATGCCCAGCAACCCCATGGAGGTGCCTGGGGAAATACAAAGACTTGGGGGCACCATCTCTCTACCTTACTCTCCTGCTACAAAGGTCAGAATGCAAATGACAATGCAGTTATAGTGATCCTCCCAAAACCGCTGTATTCCATGAACACCAGATTTTTTTCAAATTTTGGTACAATATTATTAGCTACTGGTCGCTTGTGAGAGACCTCCCAAGTGACTGTGATGTCATCATAATTCCAACTGCACTTGATCTATTATCCGGCCCCACTTCCTCTAATTTTGGTATTCTCTCACTTTGAAAAGTACCTTCCTAACTCTCGAGTCAGAAACCCACAGGCCCTAGTCAGCAGCTTTCAACCATGGTAGCATATCACATTTAGCCTAGGTCCTACCCACAGAAATTCAGGTTTCAGTATTCTGGGGAGGCTTCCTGGTGTCAACATTTTTTTAAAAATTCCCCAGGGTTGCAAACCTAGTTAGCTGGCACTCCATACTGGTTTGCTATCACCGTGGAGTAAAATTCCCCCTCCTTGCTAGGATCAAATGAGAAGGTATTTGTGAAAGTGTTGCAAACCCTGTACTTAGCAAACTACCATGAAGGTTCTCCTATCATTAGTATCTGCCTTCTCTTCACGTCAGCACTGTAACTAGAGCTGTGCGTCTGAATTATTAGAGCCAACACAGGTCTCACAGAAAATGTCTCCTTATTGGTCTGGCCTGTCCAAGGGGCAGACAGCACCAAGCCTTACAGGTCCTAGGAAGTCATTCCCAACACCTTGGCTCTCAACAGGTTTACTTACTGCAGTCCAGAGCCCTTTGTTAAAAATGTGTGTGCATGCATGTTGGAGTTTTTTCTCACCCACATACCAATAGGTGTATTTTAAAAACATTTCTTTTTTTTTTTCAGATTTAGTTGAGTTTATTGGTACATTTTAGGGATACAGTACAGTTACATTCATTGTTGGGATCTTGTACCTCTACATGATTAAAAACATTTCTATACCTGGGAAAATTTAGAAGGATACACATCAAAATGTTAACGGTGGTTTTCCCCTGGGTGGTGAGTTAATTGATGATTTTTCTTTTTTGATTCTGTTTCTGCTAAAATTTCTAAGGCAGATATGTACTGCTTTTATAATTAAAATAAACAGGTAAATAAATGCCCCAACCAAAAGAGGAACAAATAAAGGATCTGGGTTGTGGGCCAGCTGTGTCCCAGATCTGCTGCAACCTCAGAGGTGTGGCTTTTCCTCTAGTCTGAATGGATATCCCCTCAAGGCCCGCCTTCCTCTGATATGCAGGGACCCTGATGCCCCTCAGCTTTTTAATTTAGACTCCTAAGGGACCCAACCCTGAACTGACAAACTCTTTTTTCTGCCATTCTAGTTTCTCCTGCTAAATATCAAGACTCTTGTTGGCTCCTCTTCCTCCTCCCTGTGGCAATGAAAGAAGTCCTCTTTTATCTGTGGCTTCAGTTACCCCATCAACCACAGTCCAAAAATATTAAATGGAAAATTCCAGAAATAAAAAATTTATAAGTTTTAAATTGCACATCCTTTTGAGTAGCATGTTGTAATCTCATCCTGAGGGAGACATGAATCACCCCTTTGCCTGATGTATCCACACTATATACACTACTCGTTAATCACTTAGCAACCATCTTAGTTATCAGACTGATTATCACGGTATCACAGTGCTTAGCAGATAAAGAGTGTACTATCTGAGGCTTCAGGCATCCAATGGGAATCTGGAACCTATCTCCCCAGAGATCTGAATATCAGAATATCAGAAGTGAGACTCCATACAAGCAAGGTGTACTGATCACTTAGAAACTACACCTGAACACCACCTCAAAGCCAGGCCCCATCTTTCTTTCCTGCTGGGCAAGAATAACACAACAGGCCTTGCCACAGAAATTTGAGGCAGGGCATTTACATGGCCATCATGCTGGGTTTAGATTAACTTCCCAGGGTCAATGCAACAGCAGGATCTATTCGAAAATCCCCATAGAACACAGGGCAGCTGCATCACCATGGAGACAGGATACTATAAGCCCCACAGGTCATCCACGGTGCTTCAAAGAGATATTCACAACCATGGACAAGAAAGGAAGTTGGATCAAAAAAAAAAAACTTTTATGACCAACCCCTGGATGACTCTCAAAAGCAACCTCCTAAAAAAAAAAAAAGCAACCTCCTGACTATATTCGTGGCAACAAGCAAAGGAGAAAACGTCAAGAATGACTACAGTGTGTTCCCCATGGTAGTGCGGTAGTGCATTATTAATTCCTGAGTTGTGTGTTTTCTACCTATTTTTTATGTAGAGTGTACGGAGATTGACTTTTATGAGTTTCCTATTTGGCAGACGGGGAAACTGAGGCTGAAAGAGACCAAATCATTTCCTTAAGACCATTGAGCTGCAGCAAAAGAGCCAGGATGGTGTCTCACAGGGGCTGGGTGTGCACTCTGGTCTGACCTGAAAGGCCCTCCTGGGCCAGGCCTCAGAGGGCACCTTTGGGGTTTTGAGGAGTTAAGCACCCATTAAGCCATTTGACTGAAGTGGAGGAAATGTTACCAATCCCAACCGTTTTATTCAAAACCTTTAACATTGAAAAATGCCTCCAGCAGAAGTATGGGGCTAGGCATGAGCAGATCCTGAAAAACAAGAGAACATGAAGTTCAAGGCCATCTAAACTTTGTATGAAATTAACACCGGGCCCAGGGGGCCAGGAAGGTCACAGTTCCTCGAGGCCAGTTCCACCATCATCCAACTAGGTGAGTCACCTATCTCCTCTGCACCTATTTCCACCCCTGTAAAGCAAGGCACAGCATAAGGGCAGGAAGTGCCATATACCTGATGCACACAGCAGGCTTGGTCCCCTGGCTCCAACAGAGGCCTCTTTCTGAGCCCTCTTTTCAAGTCTTTTCCAGTGCTCAAAAGAATCCTAAACATGTCAAAGTGAAGGAAAGACAAAAGCCAGACAGACCAGGGACAAACGCAGCAACCACCTGGCCTTTCTCCTGCTTATCAGCTTGGTCCCTGGCCCTCACCTGGGCTGGGGCACAACGGCCCAGCCAGCCGCTCCAACGCTCCAACAGGAACGAGGCGACTAACCACACTGGCTCCAAGCCTGCGCCACCCCAGGAGTGAGTTGGCCTGGACTGAGGCCAAGGAGCCCTTTCCACCAACTGCTCCACTCCAACCCTCCACCCAAAGCCCAAGAATCCAACCCCAGGGAGAGGAGACTTTCAACCTGGGACCTGAACTTTCCACTACTTTCACCTTCGCAGCTGGCTCTGTTACACCTTTTGCACACTCTGTGGCCCAGGTAAACCCAGGTCGAACCACGGAGCCTACTCTACCAAAGAGTCGCTGGCTTCGTGCGGACACAGGCACGCCGGAAGAGCGGAGGGGCACAGTGGGCGCCGCGAGGTTCGGAGAAGCCCAAGGGGAGAGGGGTGTCTCGCCTTACACTTGCTCGGCCTCGACCCCCTGCCGTTTTCGGGGCAGGGTGACAACTTTTCAAAGGAGAGGGAGCCAAGAGATCACCTGGTAACAGACTAGTCTATTTCTGAGGCTTTCCTGGGTTCATTTAAAAAAAAAAAACTTTCCGGCCTCTCCGCCCCGGATCCGAACCCCTGATCGGCCCACTTCCCAGGAAAACTCAGCAGAGCGC